CCAGGAATGGAGCACCTGCACCTCACCACAAAGGAGAAGAGTCTTCCATGAAAACTCCTTTTCTGCTACTGGGGAGAAGGCCTCTTTGTTTTAACAGAAGTGTCTTGTAGTCACAAAACTAACTTTTGTGAGCTTCCAGCAGATTTATGTTCCACCACATGCTGCAGACATTTTCTTCCTCTCTCACTCTTTTAACGTAAACCACAGATTCCTGTCAAGGAGGCATTGAAGCATCATGTTACACAAACCACAGTCAAGTCATCATGGACTAAATATACCCAGCTATTCCACAGGCACTCATGGGCTGGCAAAGGAGCCTGGTCCCACTCTAAGAGGAAAGCTACCAAAATAACCCAGTGTCTATTCAGGACAAAGAGTCCTGGCAACTTAAACCAAAAACATGAGGTTATTGCCCTGTGTTACCCTGGGAACCTCATGAATTATTTTATTTTTCGATTTATATCCTGCCTTTTTCCTACAAAGGGCTCAAGGCAGCTTACATCATTCTCCTCCTCCATCTTATCCCCACAACAACAACCCTGTGAGATAGGCTGGGCTGAGAGGCTGTGACTGGCCCAAAGTCACCCAGTTGGCTCCATGGCTGAGCGGGGACTAGAACCCAGATCGTCTGAGTCCCAGTCCCGTGCTCTTAACCACTACGCTCACACTATGCCACACTAAGAGATGAAAACCAAGCCATTTAGTACCATATTGGCTCGTCCATGGTTAAACCTACGTAACATGAAGGAATCTGGCATATGGTGGTTTGAGTAAACTCTGCTTCAATGGGTACTATCTCTGTATAACATTGGAGCTGCTGGCCAAATAACTGAACCCTGCAAATTCAACCTTGAAAAGCACGTTGAAATCTCATGGTAGCCACAGACAGCTTCAAATAAGCTCAGACACAAGACATCTTGAGCACTTGTTTGTGAACTGTCAGGCTATCTCAAATGTTGTCAACACCTTGATCTAGAATGACTCAGGACTGTGTAACACCAAAAAACTCCACCTTGTAAATTCAGAATCACACACACAGTGACCAGCTTCATTCTTGTAGCAACAAACTTGTAATCATCCAATTTAAGAATGCTGAGCAACATCTAATGCTTACAACAATAGTTTCCAGAGTGAACACCCATATGACAACTCAGTGGTGGAATCCCTGGTATTTTTCAGGACTTCTTAGCCCTCACACCCTTCTGGAATCACCTACACACCAGAGTCCTCTGAATCTTGAACTACCCCTATTTTTATGCCTAGGTAAGACCCAAGATATAGGAAACAGGATTCGGGGAATGAACCTGTAGCCAAACTCTGGAGACAAACAAGGAGACAGGCAAGCACACTGGCAAAGCCTCACCCACAATGTGCACTGCTGCTGCTTTACAAGTACAAGTGTGGCTAAGTGTTCTTTAACCAGGAAGCTTCTATTTTGGCAGAAAAGGAGGTCACTGTATAAACAGAATATGAAACAGTTTTCCCTGTCCGGCATCCTTCATATATTTTGTCCGACAGCTCCACTGTCTCTCACCACTAACCATACTAGCTAGGGATGATGAAAGCTGCAGTTCAAAACTTCTTCAGTTGAAGAAGGTTGACACAAACGGTTCTGAACAAGTAGCAAAGTGTCTGAACTTGCCTGCTTCAGGTGTCTATAATCAAATATAAACATAGCAAATTCAGTTCCACAGGTGCCAATCCATATTGCAGCCAAAATGGCTTCATCCACAAACAAGTGGGAAGTATCAGCAGCTCAGGGAAACTGGATATTATTACCTGCAGAAGCCAATTTGTCTCTCCCAAAGATGAGAATGTGCTCTTCCAATTACTATAACTGGCTAATCTAACTTGTAGAAAAGGCATGAAGTATACAATAAACCAATTAGTTCTGAACAGAAGCATATGAATTTCTCAAGCATTCCCGAAAAGGGTCAAGTACACTTATAAAGCAACAGCAAAAGTGCTACTGATCATCCAGGTAAGAAGTTGGATTCTTGAATGTGCTGACTATGGAGTCCAATTAACAAGATTCCACCTAAACAGTCACTACTGATGACCATGATCATTATCCTGGCAACTGATCGCCCGCCCCTTCCTTCTCTCTGATGCCAAAGAATTCGAAAGTGAGGTTATCTTGCTGCAGTGCTCAAAGAGACCAGTTCTTCTGAAATGTGCAGAAGTCTTAGTAGAGGGAAGGGTAAGCCATCTGGGCTCTGTGAACACCTGGGACCAAGAAGAACCCCACTGGCAGCTTCTCAATACTTCTTTAAAGCACAGCACTAAGAGAAAAAACTGATTTGCCCCCTTTGAGGGTGCCAATGGTCTTGTGGGTGAGTGAGAGAGAGATGGAGATATCATAAAAATGGCTCACTACTGAGACCCCATAGGCTTCTAGAGACACAGGAATCTTGTATCCTGAATAATAGCTTTTTACTGTGGACATTTTATCTCCTAAAGCAAAAGAAACAGAACAAGACAGGGTTAGCCTTCCCAATAAGGAACTACAGAAATCTGAGGTAATTTCAACTGGCAAACTGTAGTCCACAGCCCATGTTAGATACTGAGGGTAGTATTTTAAAGTCCCATTATCCTGTGGCTAATTTCAGCTCTGAATGTTTACTGTGATTCTACATGGGCATCCAAAGTGGCAGGTTCAGTGACAGCTCTCCCTCTGGATTATTCTTTATGTTCCAATACCAAAACCCAACCTAAGCACTCATAAGGAAAAATAATACACTCATAGACTTTTTGAGACTCACACATAACGCCTGCTATTTCTAATGACCCATTGTCAATTTGCTTTTGCTGGAAAAGCCTGGCTATTGCCCAACTCTCCAGTCCGATGAATGGCTATTCTCCTGGAAGCTGCAGCCTGATGCATTTCTAGTAGCCAGTCACAAAAGTGTTAATGGTCCCAAAGCTCTGTATTTAGCACAAATCATGTGGGGCACACTCTAATAATAATAATGTTTGCAGAACTAGCCTGACCCTGTCATTTCCATGTGACCTTTCAATCAAGTTCAAACATAAACATGTGCAATTCCAGGCTAAGGAACAAGCTGCTATTAATAAGCACCAAAGTACAGGTATTTGTTTTTTAAGATAACCCATCTACTGAAAGAGTCGTTTCCAGAGGCAACATTAAATGACATGACATTAAAAAAAGGAGTCTTTCCTTTATTATGCACATCAGCCTAGGACTGAGCTGAAATGACAGCATGTTTTTTGAACATTCCTGCCCCCCAAGAAAGTATGCTTCCCTTTGCAAATTTACACCCCTTTGTGAAAAAGTTCAGAACTGTTTACAAGGGGATGTATGTTGGGTTCTAAAAAAAAAATGTTCCTATCATCAAGGCAACTGGAATATTCTTTCGTTTGGGCCAAGCATCCCAATGATCATTCTTCTCAATAGGATGTACATTCTAATTTGTTGCCTTGACAAGAGGGATGAGTTCCTTTCTGTGTCCCAGTTATAGTTTCAAACTAGTTTCAAGTAACAGGAAAGGAGGTGGGAGGATGGTGTTGAACAGCTGAAAAAAGCAATCTCTAGAAGACTCAAAAGTGCTTCCAAAAAAGGGGGAAAATCAAAGCAGTACCTCAACTACCTAATTGAAAAGACATTTGAGCAGTTATTTAACCGAACAAAACTATATAACAGGAAAGCTCTAGTAAAGTCTCTACTGCTCTTATTTTTGAAAGAGGTAAAAAAGCACCAAAGCTGATGGCTCAGTAGAGCCAAGGGCTCATCAGCCATTGCTCAAGCCCCTAGTTTTAAAAAACAAAAAGTTACTGTAAACCAGGGCTGTAATGTTTCATCACAAGTTAATCTGGCGTTACTGAGTAATCTGTCTGAAAGACAAGTGCTTCTGTGCTAATTGACACAGGAAGTGACAACTCTAAACCTCTAAATATTCCAAGAGATAATATTCAAAACATGTCATGATCAGAGCACCATCCCAACAAGAACTTCTTTATGTACAGTCCATTGTTTTACCCAGCTGCCACCCAATAACAGCTATTCTGTTAGCTCTGCTGAGAAACTAGTGGCCTCTGGCCTTCCCTCAACTATCACTGGGCAGTATCTTCATCCAAGCTGGCTGTTCTAAGAACTAGTTACTGAGCTTGCCTGCTTTCCTTCTCTCTTTCCTTTTTCCTTGTTATAAGCCTGAGGCCAAGGACTGTCTTGCTGTATTCATCATCTACAAGTCAGTAACCAATTTTTTTTGGTTAAAGAATTGTATTAAAACACTTTAAGTGAAGAAAAAATACATAAAAGAATTTGAATCTCCACCAGAAACTTCCATTATAGGCACGATTCACACCTGGGAATTCTTGATCAACACACATAGCAGTGGAATGAACCTAGAAAACATTTAACTAGATCACTGCATCAAGGCAGGCAAAGAACAAATAGTGAACTCTAGATTGATCCAAAACATCCCAACTAAAAAGAGCCACCAAGCACACGAAACTTGGATGAGGGAAAGGACAATAGAGAAAGACAGAAGGAAGCATTCTGCAGAAGGCAGAACAAGAAGTATGCTATAATACTTACTTCTACACCCACCTTTGGCAGATCATTTTATAACACAAAGAAACTATCTTATAAAGGAAGATGTACTGCAACTCAATGCCTACAGTAGAAATGGAGAGACAAGGGGATGGGTACATGGTTTGGGGAAATAAAAGGGGGAAAGGCATGACATTTGATACAAAGGTTTGGAACCCAAGGAAAAAGCTAAAACGGGCAAATGCATTCAGTTTTAGCTATTTTGGAGTAGAATTCTACATGCTCAATAAGCTCAAAATGAATGAGTTCACTTTTCAGGACAGGAAGATAACATTGAAACTAAGGCCCAACTCAGTTAGGTGCCCACTCCCCAAAATACTGTGCCTCTGGATTTCAGGTGTAGGAGGAGTATTTCCCCTGTTAGTGTAGTGGTGATTAGTGTAGCACAGGACAGGACAAGCCCAAACAATTCTTAACGGTGACTCACCAGGAAGTCTGTTCATGTTGACACCTTGGGCTGAGAGTCCTATCCCCATGTACCTTCAAAACAAACAAAAGTGTGTTAATGCAGGAAACAGTGAATGGCCAAGCAAGATCGCACAGTGCTTCTTTTCCCCACTGAAAGCACAGTCCGAATGGGAGAAGGTTGATGTTACCACTCAGTGGAGACTGTGGTCAGATGCCTTCTAAAGTCAAACAAAAACTGCCTCTGTCAAATGGTCAAGGAAGCAGCTTTTCAAAATAATCCAGTCTCTTTGATCAAATCATTTCTACCTTTGTTACCAGTTCTGGTACAAAAATGCATGTCATTCATATGTAGTCATAGACAGCCACAACTTAAAGTTGAGAATTTTATGTAGGGCTGAGTTACATGTATCTTTCCCCTGGTTGCACACTCTGAGCCAGTTGCCCTACCCCCAGTCAGGATGGGCATGAAGCAATCTGGGACTTGCAGCTTTGTAGAAGCACTGTATGCACACCTCATCTCCAGCTGCACACAAGATACTTCCTTCTCCAGTGACTAAGCAGGGTGCACTGTCCTTCACAGATAGTTCACCTGAATTATCTGCTACTGTCAGGAGTGATTCTTTGTGATAGCCAGCTTAGGTTCAAGAGCTTTGGGAGTTTTAGGCATGCCACATAGTTTCTACATAAAAGGAAGCTTGTTTTGCTGTGACTTCACTGATAGTTCTAACATAGCAACTAGAAGATTTCCAGAGTCAATGAACCAGCAGTATTTAATATAGTGCTTTAATGCCTATATCAAAACCATTGCTCCTAGCCAGACAACAAGCTTTTCAAGAATTCTAAGGTTCTTAGATTTAATTCTCTATCCTGTCATTGATTCAGTGCAAAAGCCTGAAAGCCATGGTGGTATAATGTTAGAGTGCTGGACTAGGATTTGGGAGATCTGGGTTTCAGTCCCCACTCAGCAATGAAACTCAGGGGATGACTTTCAGCCAGTCACTGACTCTTGATCTAACCCAATAGGTTTTTGTGAGATTGAAATGTAGAAGATGAAGTACATGTAAGCCACCTTCCCTTTGCAAGAGGAAAAAGGGCATAAATCCTAACCTTTACCTTTAGGGTACACCTGTCTGAATGTCATAAGATGTTGTGAGAATACAAATAGCACAATTCTATGTTTACTTAAAATAATGTGCTCAATAACTTACTTCTTAAGTTAGTGAATGCAGGTTGACTACTACTGACAACTTATGGTTGACAACTAACAATATATTAGAAATTAGGTTCTTCAGCTGACCTATTTGTGAGGTTAGCTGCACAAGGCCCAAATGATTTACTACAATATGTCCTTATCTTTGCTCTCTTTGCTCTCATAAGAAATTACCTGGATGTGTAACAAAATCCATCTACTTTGAATGCCAATGTCTATATATTTTTAAAGCATCCTTTAAAACAAGCTCTACTCCTTTTTATTCAACATATAAATATAGAAGTACAACTCATACAGAATGCTTATACATCTAATTCCAAGGAATCCACATAGTAAACTACAATTCATACATTGAGAAGATAAAATTCCAGGTATAATCATATGTCTACACACTATCCCTAGGGCATTTAGGCTAGAGGGAACCCCAATAATCATATTTCCTGAAGTCCAAAGAATCTCAGATATACTGCTCCAGACTTTATTTGAAATCCTAAAAAGAAGAATTCTATTTTGCATTTGTGAAGCTGATGCTTTTAAAAGTTCTTGTTTAACTATTCATCCTACTATTGTGCTACCACAGGGAGTAAGTTCTCATGTCAGGGTAAGCTATGCCGCAAATAACCAACAGTGGGTTGGTTCTTTACTGAACAATCCATGTTATTTTCGATAGATAACTGGGTTCATTGTGGATTACCCCTACCTCCTTTACCCTTGGATCTCCACAAGGTATCTCAGAGAACTACATGCATGGTTGCATATTCCCTTCTTCTGCAGAGATTTCCCAGAGTTTTAAAAAGAAACTTACAGTGATACTTCGGCTCACGAACGCCTCAGTTCATAACCAAATCGGGTCGCGAACAAAAATTCCATAAAAATTCTGACTCGGGCCACATACTCCACATTGGGTGGTGACCATGATCGCAGCCGTCTCCCCACCCCCAAGTGGGGAGATGACCAAGATTGCGCCCTTCTTTCCTGCATGAGCGCACCTGTGATTGTGCCCATTTTTCCCGCAGGAGCGCAACTGCAATCTGGGTCATCTCCCCCCCCCCCTCGCGCGCCCACGACTGCACCCATCTCTCCCCCCTCTGACAGCCCCATGCAGGGATGACGGGCACAATCGCAGTTGTGCTGGGGGGGCGGGGAGATGGCCGCACTCGTGCTCGGGGCAGGGGGGAGATGGCCGTGATCTTTGTTGTTGTTTGTCACTTTGCTTCACATTTTTCTGATTAAAAATAGTTACAGAATGGATTAACTTTATTTACACTGAACCTTATGGGGAAATTTAACTTGGCCCATGACAAAAATTGGGTCATGACCAGAGTCCTGGAATGGATTAAGTTCATGAGCCGAGGTACCACTGTATTTCGTTTGACGGTTGTCAAAAAAAAGTATTCATGAAAAGGGGAGGGCCTTACAATCTTCATTCTTCTAAGTAGCTAAAACCTGGGAAATAAGGGGAAAGTGCGGTTACCAGGAACTATGTTGGGAACATCAAAAACCTTTATGATCTCACTGTGAAGAAAAACTGCCCCCTCCTTTCATTAGCAAAGATCCCTCACAGCTTTTCTTCTCTTAGCAGCTCCCCATCAAATAACTGTCAAGTGAACACTAAGTAACACGTGAAGGCTCTCTTAGTCAACGTCCATGCTTGATATCTATACACTTCCACAGCAAACATTACTATGACAGGCAAGCATTTCCATTTCAGCTATTTGAAGTTGGGCAACTTGTGCAAAAAAAGTGCACTCATTCAGTTGTTCAAAACACTTAAAAAAAAAATAGGTGACTAACCATAAAACATAAAATCTGCATTAACAAACCAAACCAAACAGTAGACACCAACATTTATGTACAACCATTGTGGAAGTCAAAGCTAAATGGCTTCTGTAAGAAGATTTGGGCAACTTAGTAAGTAGAAGCACTTTCTTCTCATGCCAATACAGCAAACTGGGAGGCTGCCAAGAATGGGTACTGAGGCAGAAAAACTGTTGTTCTCACTCTGTATGAGAAAAATTAAAATTCTCTCCAGTGGGCAGTTGGCACTGACCCTTCTCTGATGCAGGGAGACACTGCTGCACATTCCAACACTGTTACAAACAATAGCTGGAGCAAAGTATTTTATAAGTGTAAGTAACTCCTATGAAAGAATCCTAGTCCTTTATAAACATTGCATGCCAGAGATGAAAGACTAGTTGTGACAGTCACACAGCTCATGCTGTTCATTGTAGTAATAGTTCATCATCTTTCTACAGAATAGCATTTCTAAGTCTGGGATAAACACTCATTTAGCAGAAAACCATTTCTGGGTACAACCAAGCTTTTGCACACCAAACCAAGCAAACCAAGTTTGTGTCATACCAAACTGTTGTAATGATCCACACAAACAGGTATAATGTATCAAGGCAAATACCTTATCCACTAGAATACTGTGTGATGGAGATGCTATTATCACCATACTACAGATGGAATGAAGGCAGAGGGAAAATTTGACTTATTTGACTGTGAAGTCATGCCTAAGTGTTGTTAGCAAACAGATCTTCAATCCTGTCACTGTTCCAAAATTTCAACACTGCCTGCATTCAGTATGAATATCTGGGAAAGTATAGCACAAACTAGAACTAGAAAGCTGATCTCTGCATGACTGTATAATAATTATACAAACTTTACGATGCAACAGTTCCAAAACATAATATTCCTTAGCACTCAAGTTCCTCCTCCCACAACCCAGTATCACTAGCTGAACAGCATAAACTTCAATCCATAATAATGACAATGTGTGCATTGTGCCATTTTCAGACTAAGTATCAACTGCTATCAAATCCACTGTATTCTGTCACCTAATTTAATATAACTGGCCCTTGGTACATACCGACTGGTACTATTAGCATATTCAAACTGGAAAGCATGGATACTTGTAATAGCTTGCCTCTACCTACCAGCACAGCAAAGAGTTGCATCTGCCTCTTGAGCTCACCTTTCTTTTCATGCTGTCTTTATGGTTCCTCTCAGCTACTGCTTGATGTCAATGCACACTGGCTTTCTCTTATGATTACAGCTAGCTGGCACTTGTACTGGTATGAACACCATGTTCTGCAAGGCACATTTTATGCATAATCATCTGTCTTAAAATCACAAGGCAGTTTTTCAGCTATTAGACAACTGACATCCTTAGTGACTCTGCTTGCTTGCTGAAAGAATACAAAGAAATTTGGCACATAGTCTCCTTTTTCCAGAAGGCCAATGACATTCTGTATTAAATTTCACTGAAAAGAAATGTTCCAAAACATTAAGCTATCCTGAACAATGCCTATAAGCTAAAATAATCCAGAGTAAGCGGCAATGGCAAACATGTCCCACCTGAAGTCAACATGGCACTGATACTGCATTTTTCAGCCTTGCAAAGAATTGCTACCTTCAAAACCCACATTCTGGCTATCTCCATCTGTAGGTATTCTTTAAGAGTCCCCATTCTTCAAAACTATCTTGCCATCAAGCAGTTCAGCACAGTAATTAAGGGCATGAGCTCAGAAGTCTCTAGTTCACAACTCAGTCAGCTCTACCACAGACTTGCCTGCTTGCCTGAGACAAACCACCATCTCCCAGCTTTCCGTGGAGGTAGCAATCTTGTCCTACCCTACAGGGCTGCTATATGAATCACTGAGGTTATTTATTGAAGGTTTGAGAATTGGGGGAAACATGATGCACGTATCAATTTTACTGTCATGTTAGTAACATTCCTCCTGAACCTCTCTGATTTAAAAATGCAATAATGTTTCTTTATCTCTAAGACTGATATATTAGACAGACTGGGAAAGCACAGGAATTACCATATGCCTGCTGTTTATGAGAGTTATCCTTA